CCCCCGCTGTGCAGGCGAGCCCCTGGCCATTGCCGCCCCGAGCCATCGCCCTTGCTGGCGGGGGCTTATCCCTGCTTTGGATGCTTTTCCAGGTCCTCAACTGTTTAGGTGACATCTCCCGCTCAATCGCGCGGGTGGGGGACATTAAGAAGGTGGACACGAAGGCTGTCCAGCTGGACACAAAGCTTGGGCAGCTGGACACAAAGCTTGGGCAGCTGGACACAAAGCTTGGGCAGCTGGACACAAAGCTTGGGCAGCTGGACACGAAGCTTGGACACGTGGACACCCTCGTCCAGGCCAGGCTCGAGGCCGCACTCAGCAAGTCGGAGTGCCATGTCGCAACGGTGGCGTGCGTGGCGGTGCTCGGCGCCTGGCTGGCTCGGAAGCCGGGCGCCGGGCGCGGTGCCGGCTAACTGCCAGCACGCCCCGGCTCCTTCCCTGCCAGCGGCCGTTCCTCGCAGGCCACGGCGCCAGCATGAGCCGGCCGCCGCGCGACTTCCCCTGCGCCATTCTCGCGCCCACGCATTGATGCTACGTGAATAGGTATGATAAACAAGCCGCACGCGCCACGGCACGTGGCAGTTGTGGGTGGCTGCTGTTGCAGGAGAGCAGGGGCATGTCTGCTCAAAATTTTGGCCCAAGCTCGCTTTTCTTTCAGAGAGAACCCGATACTCCCCCCCCGGCCTGGCAGCAGGCCATGGCGCATTCCTTGACATGTGTGCTGCCTTCGCTGCAGCGATTGCACCTTACTCTTTTTCCCTCCCTCGGGCTCGCATTGGGCTTCCATCGACGACAGCAGGGCTCATTCGGCAGTGGCAGCGCCCCGCCGCAGAGCAGGTGCAGCTTGAGTCGTCTGGCATAGCGAGCAGAGCGCGTGTTCGCGGAGCCACATTTTTACGTTTTGATGGCGCGATTGGTGGCGCCAGCCAGGGCCCGCTGCGCGCCGCATCTTGCAGCAAACCGCCCAAATACAGGGCGTTTCATGCGCCCTTTTGGTGTCATGGCACACCCAGTGTTTGGCTGGCTCCGCCAGCTGTAAAGCACCGCCCCCCCCCCAAAAAAAACACCTGTCAAAGCGCAAGGGCGAGTTGCAAAGATGCAGGAAAGTTAGTGCGACATACAGGAGAGTATGTGTGCACTCCCAGTGCCGACCTCTCAGAGTTTTGGGCCAGAGTAGCAGCTCCCTGCAAGAGCCCACGCAACCAGGGTGTGCGTGGTTGGTTTGGCGGGGCATGAGATGAGGATCTCGCGGGCAGGCGGCTCCTGCCCAGCCCCTGCGGCCTCAAGCGGTGCCTGTGGCGGGGCCGGCAGGTGTCACCTGTTTCGCTGCCTTGCGAAACCGCTGCACCCTGGCGGCCTGTCCGGTGGGGGCAGGCTGTTGCTATTGAGATACCCCGAACTCAACCGGGATTGCCCGGGGGGCGGGGCAGCGCCAGGGAATTGGCGCGCTTCAAGTCAACAAAGATTCCTTGCATGGTAAAAACTGAACTGTATTCTACATGCACCTGGCCAATCGTGGGGGCCTAGGCAAGCACCAGCGGCCAAGCCATGAGGCATTTGCGAACGCAGTTATTCCTCAGTTCGGGGTGGCGTGCAGAGGTGAGCTGGCAGTGCGAGTGGGTGTTGGTCAGGTGTGGCTGCACAACGTTGTGGTTACATTGCCTCTACGCTGCCTTGCAACTCCCGCTCGTCTTCTCGTCTAGACATTTTACCATATCGGTCGCCAATTGCTGGTAATACTACATGATGAAGTGGATCTGCGTTCTGCTAGCGTGCCTGGCGGTCGCCGAGGCCTCCAGGGGTGAGGGTCTGCGCATATATGGCATCAAAACGACCCCATTTGCGGTTTCACATGCGCTGCGCGTCCCATGCAGGGGGTCCGGTGTCGAACGACCTGTGCAGCGAGTGCACATGGGCTGTGCGGGCGCTCAAGGACCTGATGTGCGACCCTGGCGTCGAGGGCAACGTGGTGAGTGTCCGAAGCCGTCCGAAGCCGCTTATACCTCAGGCAGGTACCAGCTCGTGATCATCGCACAAAAGGCGAACCAACCCTTTCCGGTTCGGGGCCTCTGCGCAGGTGGATTGGGTCATTGACAACGTCTGCGCTGCTGCTGGCGACAACAAGCAGTCGGTGAGGATGGCGCGGTGCTGCGTGCTAGGGAGGCGAACAGCGCGCTCGGCGGAGGGGAGTGCAGCACTGTCAGCGCGCGCCCGGGTCCGCGCTCGCTCACACACACACGCGCGAGCCCGACCCGGCCCCGCCGCCCGTCCCCTTGCAGTGCGCCGACATCGTCAACGGCATCGCGCCGGCGCTGCTCGACTGGCTGCGCCTCGGAACAGACGCGCAGGAGATGTGCGCAGAGGCTGGCGTGTGCGGCGCGCCGCCGCCGGCCTTCGCCGCCCCGGTGCGCTGCGCGGCCGCATGGGCGCCCGCGTCTGGGCCCGCCCCCGCCCCACTCATGGCGCCGCAGCGGCCGGCCGCGCATGCCTCATTTGTAGACGGGTTGACCTCGCTCCCTACCCCCTTACCCGGACACACTCACACACACACGCACGCACGCACACACACACATACGCGCCGCCTCCCCACCCCGCAGGCCAAGCCCCGCCGCGCCCGTGCGGCGCCCCGCAACGACCTGACCTGCCCCCTCTGCATGTTTGTGGTCTCCAAGGTCAAAGAGACGCTGTCAGACCCCATCACCCGCCAAGCCGTGCACGACAAGACGCGCGCCGCGTGCGGCGTCATGCCGGAGGGCGCGGTGCGGGACGCATGCATCCAATGGGCCGACCAGTACGGTGCGCACGGTCAACATTTCTCTGTCTCTCTTAGTGACCTCGCGCGGCGGACGTGTTGGGGGGCGCCTCGGGGCCGTTTCCACAATTCCGCGTGTCTGCCGGGCCCTGCGGAGGGGGCACCCTCGGCCTGACGCGTCGCGGCACCGAGTGATCCGGGAGCAAACATGAGGCCCGTGCCATCGCTCGTTGCTCGTTCCTGTGTTTCATGTTTTTCGATCCGCTTCTTGCCGTTATCTTATTCCATCTCATCCCGCCAGAGGAGACGATCTTCAACTTGGTGGACACCCTGGAGGCCCAGGACCTGTGTGCCATGCTGGGAAGCTGCTCGCTCGCTGAGCGCCTCGCGTCCGTCCGGCTGCCGCCGCTGTCCAAGGGGGCGGTCGCGGCGCTTGCGCCGCTGGCGCGGGGCGCGCGGGGTACGCCTGCGAACGACGAGTGTGAGACGTGTAAGG